CCGAGGGACCCAATTCTCTTCCTCTTCACGATCATCTGTTAAGGAGTCTGGTACCTGACCTTGAACTCGATCATACACAACCCCAGTTCCAGGAGGTCTACCTGCTGACCTGGGATCCCAGTAGCCATTGCCTTGCCAGGAACTCCGTGTCCCAGCGTACGGCTCTGTGCCCTGCTGATACTTGTGCCCAGCACGGCCTCCATAGCTGCTGTCAGGCTGCTGGTACGTGGTCGTTGGCTTTTCTTGTGGAGAGAAGTCCCAGCCCATGTTTCTGAGCTCTAGCACTTTGTAAAGACCCGATGAATGGAAGCCATCCACTCGGGAGATCTCGTAAGAGGAAGAGAAATTCAATTCTGTTCTTCCCAGTCTACTATCTGGCCTATCAGGGAAAGGGGTCTGTTGCCAACACTTATTTTGAACATCTTCAAAACCATCAGAAGAATAAAGTGGCAACTCCTCTTGCCTGGAAGCTATTTTGGCTCTCAGTGTTTCTTCAAAACCTGGATGACCTCCAGGGTCCGACTTTACATCAGAATGACTTGTACTATCGACTCCGTCACTCTGAGGGTGAGCAACTTCAGTCAGGTGGTTGTCTATCTGCTTTCTGCTCATCTGTGTGAAACACATTTCTGGACTCTTCTCTGTTCCTTTATGAAGGAAGAACTTCTCCGTCTGAGGACAGGCTTTACTTGCTATGCTCTCAAACTTTTCCTCATATGAATGCCTCCTGGGCTCCAATCTCTCATCTTCCCAGTGGTCAGAAGAGTGTCTGTAACTGTGACTGCTCCGAGAAGAACACGGACTTGTTTCTTCCATGGGCAAAGTCGAATTCTTTGGCACAACCACCACCGACTGAAGACGGTTCCTGGGAATACTGCTGTCGTCAGAATCTGTCTCTTCCGAATCGCTTTCATCACTTGAACTTTCAGAGGAACCAGAATACTCTTCGTGAACAGTAGACACGATCTCTGAGGCATGACCACTACTGTCACACTTTAAGGTGTATGTCATATACTCGCTGTCTTCCGTGGTTAAATTCAACTCACAAGAAGAAAATACAACTTCTGAATCATCAGAAGTGTGTTCATGTCCTCTACCTCCCTCTTCTTCTAGAGAGATTTCTGGTCTTCCTCTTTTATCAGGCAACATGCTATCCCCTTCTTCTTGAGCCTCATGCAGACATTTCCCAGAGAGCCCATTATTATGCCTGTTTTCCCAGGAAGCAACCCCCCTACCTAAAGCAGGAAGGCCACTGCCTACTTCTAGCATTTCTTTTTCTCCATGCTTTGCAAACTCTGTGCTTTTACTCTTCAGAACAGCACCCAAAACTGGAGATGTGTTCTCTCCACATTGCAAGAGAGCTAAACTGTCCACTGTTATTCCTGGTGGAAGACTCTGAAGAGATGAAGCAATGCCTGAACTCTCTATAGGTTGATATAAACCATCAAAATGATTAACAGAAGCCGAACTAGTGCTACCAACACTCTTATATTCCTTACATGCAAATTTTGAGTGCTGATCTGTCAGACTTCGATGATCACATATAACTGTTTTTGATTTCAAATGCACATTCATAAAGCTATTTGAAGAAATCTTCCTAACTGGAGGCTCAGTATCTTCAGCTGCAGAATGACACAAAGAAGGGTTGTTGTCATTTGAAGCACAATACACGTCTGAATCTTTGGCTTTACAGCTAGAAACTCTCATATCAACTGGTTCTTCACCTATAGTTTTGCAGTAATCTACAGTCATAACAGGTAAAGACATGAGTTTATCTTGGTGTGGTGACACCGGAGGCTCTGTTTCTCTAAACGGGCTTTCTGCCTTACTACACTGCATGCAAGTATCGTCCAAGTCTTTTTCTTTACAACTGTCAATGTTCTGAAATCCATTTGATGAAAGCACACATGCTTTGACCAAAGAGGATGCCTCCGATCCAGTCACACTGTCATCAGAAGACATCAAGACAGTGTCAGTTTTAGAAGTGCAAAATGTTACCAAATCAGATTCTGCATCAGGAGATCCATTTATATTTAATTCCATGGGACAGTAACTTCTTAACTGATCATTCTTCATTTTAGATAAAGAATCTAATTCCTTAATACTATCATGGCTATCATGTCCTATAAATTCAGATTTAAAAATAGGCGGTTCTTCCAGCTTTTTAAAAGCTGGTGAATCATTTAATCGATTTGATAGAGGAGATCCCGTCTTTTCTCTTTCAGGAAGTTTACTAATCACCCTGACTTCACTACCCTTTGAACAATGAGTCTGTAAACTAAAAGAATGAGTGTGTTTGATTTCCTCAGTTAATTCTGCACAACAGAAAGAATTTTTTGATTTATCAGATTTGGATATAGATTTTGAAGGAGCAGATTTATAACGGGAAGCACTGTTTTCGTGCTTGGAATATGATGACCCCCGTCGGAATCCCAGTTCATTAAGGGGAGAACAACACCTTTTCATTGCTTCATTTTCTGAAGTCCTTCTGGATTCTCTTTCTGGTTTTGAAGAATACTTCCCTCTTTTCTCCATCTCTGAGTGAGATTCAGTTTTGCAGTCCCGATCGGATTTAGAATAGGATGATGATGTCCTTAGGTCTCTGTAAGAGGAATGAGATGAGGTGCGCCTTGAGTATGTCTTTTTATGCTCATCTTCGGAATCAGAACTCTCTCGTGCCCTGTTATCTGTATGCGGCCGAGAATAACGTGCCCTCTCTCGATAAGGGGAACGGTAGCGACGATCAGAGTCATAATAATGGGATCGTTCCGACCGGGAATAAGATAAGCTAGTTCTAGAGCCTCTGTCAGATCTAGAACGAGATCTGCTTCGCCTTCGCTCTCTCTCTGATCTACATCGAGAGGACATATACCGAGTATCTCTTTCAAGTTTTGAGTAACTAAAATATTTGTCATCTCTTTCTGTTTTAGATCGGGAAGATTTCCCTAAATCTTCACTTTTTAAAGGTGCTAAGCTCTTTTTTGAATCTCTTTCCTTTTCAATGCTTGCTGGAAATTTTAAATCATGTGATCTCTGACTTGAGGAAGTCCGAACAGAATCTTCATCAGATTCTGAACCAAGAAAGGTGCCTTCAGATTGTGAGGGTTTCTTCTTAGAACCTGTCTTTCTCAAGCTCAGACTCCTCTTAGAACTATCTGGACTCTCCTCCCCCTTCCCAATATGGGAGTCTTCTTTCTGTGAGGGAAGATGTGCTTGCTCACTCAAAGTCGGAGCCATGTGTTCTTCTGAACTGTTAGATACAGTGTCCTGCTTAGTGTCCGCTTCCGAGGATTCCGGTTCAATTGTAACCGGTGGTTCCTTCAAGGCTCTAACTGCTGTATCTGCCGGTGCTGTCATCAGAACCATTATTGGTGCATGTGGCAAGGCCACCGGCTCTGTTACTGGTGCTAGTGGTGAGGGTATTGTGGCTTGGGGGGGTGGAGGAGGTGGAGGAGGTGGAGATGAAGGTGGTGAGTCTACAGTTGTTGATTCTGCTATGACTGCTGGTAACGGTTCTGTGGGCGGAGGTGATGTCACTGGTGTGGTCGTAGCTAGCAGTGGCCTGGATGTTACATGAAGCAGATGTTTCTTAAAATGAATTTTTCCCAATTCTACCCTTGATTTTGGTGGGGAAGAGTCTTCTGCAGTAGATAAGGTCTCGCCAACGTCCACTTTAGTTTTAGGGGTCAAGTCTACTTGAAGAGGTACAGCTGGGGAGGCTGGAGCATCACTTTGCTTGTCACTGCCAAGTGCAGTCAGAAACCTGTTCGGCAAAGTTTTCTTTGTGAGGCTGAAGCTGAATGACACCTTCTGTCGCCCCTGTTCCTCCAAATTGACTTTCGTCTTGGTGCCTTTGGGCAAAAACCGACTGGAAGCAACACCTTTGAACACCGGTCCTTTGATGAAACCTGTTTTCTGCACATTTTCAATCTTCGCCTATAAATGAACAAAACAAGCAGTTACTACTTCAACGAAGTTACTTCCAAATGGCTATCATCACAGTTTTCAACATCAGGGAAATTAAGTCATTTGTTTTTTAATGACAAACAGTATAACTTTCAATAAGTACTTTAGTATTTTTTTCTTTATTGTCTTTATTGATTAAGGTATTACGTATATGTCCTTCTTCCTGCCCCCATGTCTGTGTTCACTGGTCAGGCTTATATGCATGGATACAAGTCCTTTGGTTGCTCTCTCCCTCTTACCCCCACCATCCCCCACCTTCCCTTTGACTGATCGCTGCTTCTCTGTCTCTGGATCTGTTTTTGTTCATCATTTTATGTTATTCATTATATTCCACAAATGAGTGAGATCATGTGATATTTATCTTTCTCTAACTAATTTCCCTTAGCATAATGCTCTCCAGGTTTTTCCAGGATGTTGCAAATGGTAAGAATTCCTTCTTTTTTACAGCAGTGTAGTATTCCATTGTGTAGATGTACCACAGTTTTCTGATCCACTCATCTGCTGATGGGCACTTAGGCTGTTTCCAAATCTTAGCTATTGTAAATTGTGCTGCTGTGAACATAGGGGTGCATATATCCTTTCTGACTGGTGTTTCTAGTTTCTTGGGATGTACTGCTAGAAGTGGGATTACTGGGTCAAATGGGAGTTCCATTTTTAGGGTGGGTTTTTTTTTGTTTTTTTTTTTTGAGCAAACTCCATACTGTTCCCACAGTGGCTGTACCAGTCTGCATTCCCACCAGCAGTGCACGAGGAGTACTTTAGTATTTTTAAAAATTAAAAACATACTCCAGCCCTAACCGGTTTGGCTCAGTGGATGGAGCATCGGCCTGCGGACTCAAGGGTCCCAGGTTCGATTCCGGTCAAGGGCATGTGCCTTGGTTGCGGGCACGTCCCCAGTGCGGGGTGTGCAGGAGGCAGCTGATTGATGTTTCTCTCTCGTCGATGTTTCTAACTCTCTATCCCTCTCCCTTCCTCTCTGTAAAAAATCAATAAAATATATTTTTAAAAAGATACTCCCCAAATTTGGAAAATAATAAAGCCCCAAGTACCCACCTATGTTCCACAACGAAGCCTCCCATCCCACTCACTGTACAGATAAGTCTGAGGCCTTTCTGCCGTCTCTGCCTTGGCACACTACCACTCTCTGCCTGGGCCCAACCCCTCAGGCCACGCTGCCGTGCAGTCTGAGCCCACTGCATGCGGGACAACTACAAATACGATTTAAGAAGACTCTCCCGCCCTGACCATCTGGCTCAGTGGATGGACCATTGGCCTGCGGACTCAAGGGTCCCAGGTTCGATTCCGGTCAAGGGCATGTACCTTGGTTGTGGGCACATCCCCAGTGGGAGTGTGCAGGAGGCAGCTGACCGATGTCTCTCCCTCATCGATGTTTCTAACTCTCTATTCCTCTCCCTTCCCCTCTGTAAAACATCAATAAAATATATTTTTTTAAAAAGAAGACTTCTCCCTCCATTATTAGCCAAACCACCAAAGGAAAGTTAAAGGCATAACCTAGGGTGTAGCCCAGAACTTCAGAAAAATCGACAACAGACTCAAGCCTGAATTAAAGATGGACCGTTGCCATCTGCAGCATTCTTCTAGTAGATGTTCTCTTATCAACTCTGGCTGTTTAAGAGAGTAGTTTTCCCCCCAACGTAGTAAAATCTAAAACCAGCTTTCGAAATTATACAGTGGCCATTCAGGTGGAACAGTAAGCATCTTCACATGCATTCCCACGGAGCAGCATTCAAATACAGTGGGGCCTTGACTTACGAGTGTCCCGACTAACAAGTTTTTTTGAGATACCAGCTGTCTCTCTGCTGATTTTTTGCACTGAGTTGATAGAGTAATTTGAGTTAAGGAGCTTGGTCTCGGAACGAATTAAACTCGTAAGTCAAGGCCCCACTGTACTTATAAAAACAGATTCTGCTTTTCAAATTAAACCTTCCCTGGAAGCTCAACCCGTGAAAACAAGGTGAGAAATGGTCTCCAGCCTGGCGGGTGTGGCTCAGCGGTGGAGAGTCAACCCATGCACTCGGAGGACACTGGTTCAATTCCTGGTCGGGGCACAGGCCTGGCTTTCAGGCTTGATCCCCAGAAGAGGGTGTGAGAGAAACAACTGATCGATGTTTCTCTCTACCTCCTTCCTCTCCCTTCTTCTTTCTCTAAAAGTCAACAACATATTTTTTAAAAAAAGAAAAGAAACTCTGCAGAGCTTCCGGCTTCCTTTATCTTGCCTGAAGCTCTGGAAGTGCTAAAATTTAAAAACCATTTCTTTGATATATATAACGGCCCTCTCTAGAATAAGTTACTGTTGATCCAAAACCAAAATAAAACAAAAACCATTACTTCGTTTCACATTCCAAATAGCAAAGTTTTAAATGGTTTCAATTCCACAATTACTGAATAATCAGTTAAATTATACTTACCTCATTTTCTTCTTCCCTATTGTCATCCAGCCAAGAAAGCATGCAAAAGAATAAAAAGAAATCATAAATACTTAAAACCAATTGAAATGAAAGTTGTTTTTTAATTAAAACTTAGGAGACATACAACCTACAAGTATATTCTATATGGACTATCCATCCCTTCATGGCCTCGGGTACATTTCAACATAGCAAATATTTGTTTTCTATGCTAGGTGCGAGAAATAAAAGGTGAAAAAAGCTGCCCTAGATAGAGCACTGGCCCATGGACTGAAGGGTCGTCGGTTCAATTGCCGTCAAGGGCACTTACCTCGGTGGCAGGCTCAATCCCCAGCCTTGGTCAGGGTACAGGCAGGAGGCAACCAACTGATGTGTGTGTCTCACATCCGTGTTTCTCTCTCTGCCTCCTCCCTCCCTTCCGCTCTCTATCAATGAAAAAATATCCTCGGTGAGGATTAACAACAAAAAAGGTGAATAAAGCTGAGTCCCCTGCCCTTAAAAAGCTTATCGTTACAAATACAAAACATAATGTTGTTATAAAAGCAGGTACAAGGATGGAAATGCTCAGTGCAGCAGCGAGGAGTAAGACAAGGCCCGGCCGGTGGCTCCGCTGGTCGGAGCAGCGTCCGCGCAAAAGGGCTGTGGGTTCAATTCCCGGTCAGACAACCAATTGGTGTTTCTCTCACATCAATGTTTCTTTCTCTTTCTTTCTCCCTTTCTCTCTCTCTCTCAGGAAAAAAAAATCCTTGGGTGAGGACTAAAAAGAATAAGTTTAGTGTAAGGACAGGAATATAAAGCATCCTCCCTAAAAAAATGTAAATTTTTGAAAAATTAATTTGTAGGCAGACTGAGCAAAGGTATAGAGATTAAAGTGTGAAGCAGGAAGAGGCCCTTAGTCAGGTGGAGGAGGCGGCAGGGGCCAGGTCCGGAGGCCCGGCTTCTCCTGAGGAGAAGCATGTTTGATAAGTCTGGGGGGCCACGGTTCTCCAGCCTCTTCGGTGTAGAGTCCATGGT